CGCGCCCCCGCCCCCTGCCGGCCGCAGCCCCGCGCGCGCCCCCGCCCAACGGCCGCGCCGAAAGAAGGCCGCGGCGAGGATGGAGGGAGACGGGAAGGGAGCGGCGAGGGGGCCGCACGCCCGAGGAACGTCCCCGCAGCTCGCCCTCCCGCCCGCCGCACCTTCTCCTTCTTCAGCTTGTAGGGCATGGTGAGCGCCGGGCCCCAGCCGCTCTGCTCCCGCTCCCGCCGCCGCCTGCGCCCGGGCCCGGCCGCAGCGCGCCGCTCCCATTGGGCCAGCCCAGCACGTCTGCCTAGCAACAGCCTGCGCTGCGCCGCGCCGACGCAGAGCGGCGGATTTTTGTGATTGGTGAAGCGGCCCGTCTGTCGCGGGGTGCGAGGGGTGACCCGAACCGGGGGAAAAGCCGGGAGTCTTTGCACCCTTCCCCCGTGGGTACGTGTTCCCAGGATCCCCTCCGGCCTTCTCTAAGCAACGCAGCCCCAGCTGTCTTAGCCTATGAGGGATGCTCCAGTCCCTTCATCATCTTCGTGCCTCTGGCTGGGCTCCTTCCAGTGTGTCCACGTTTCTCCTGCACTGCGTCGCCAAGAACAGGACCGAGTGGCCTTGCCTGTGCTAAGCAGAGAAGAAGCATCACCTCCTTCCACCAGCTGGCATCACTCCTCCCCAGAGGCTGTGGGGTTGTTCTGTGCATGAGTACAGCCTGGTATCTACCAGTCCTTTCTCTGCCAACCTGCTTTCCAGGACTTCCAGGGGCAGGACTTTGCACTTCCCTTGCTGAGCAGGAGCTTTATCTTCACCCATTTCTCAGACCTGTCCTGTTGCCTCTGAATAACTGCACAACCCTCTGAGGTACCAGCCCAGCTCCCTCAGCCTTTCTTCATAGGATCTGCCCTCGGTGAAGCCATGCTGGCTGTCTCAGATCACTTCATCTTGCAGGTGCCTTAACATCTCTTCTAGGAGGATCTGTTCCATGATCTTCCCAGGCACAGAGATGAGGCTCACTGACCTATAGTTCCCTGGGTCCTCCTTTCTCCTTTTCTTGAAAGTAGGAGTGATGTTTCCCTTTTTCCAGTCACTAGAGATTTGCCTGACAGCCACAAAGAGCAGAAATGCCCCTGGGCACATCCCTATCGACTGTCCTCCAGCTGGACTTTGTGCACCTAAGCACTCCGAGGCTCTACTCCATACCTCATTGATATCTCAATGGTGATGTTACCACAGTGTTCAAGCTCTATTCACGTCAAGAGAACAGACATTAGTTGCTCTCCTTTAACCCATCAAACCAGCCATCTAATCGCAGGAGGTTTCAGACAGATTCAGCAGCAGTTCCCCTCCATAAATCCATGCTACTACTGATCGCCTTCTTATTATGCTCCATGCGTTTTGTGTCTTTCCAGTTTGCTTCAGTGTTCTTCAGCCTGACGCTCTTCTCCCCAGAGACGACTTTTCCATTTCTTCTGGTCTCAGAGGCCTGCTATTCCTGAAATCTGCGAAGGTCAGAAATTTTCACTGTGCTTGCTGACCCGGTGCAAAACGTTCCTTCAGCCTGTTTCAGTGCCACGTGGGACTGCTGCCATCTACAGGCGAGAGCTGCACAAAGCAGACAGCCTGTTTCCGATGCTGCTGCACTGCTTACAAGCGCTCTGTGACCTGTGGACGACAGACTTTTGTCACTCCCTACGGCAGGCTTCAGCTCCACACCAGGCTTGAAATTCCGGAGATAAATTCACCGTAATCTGTAGCAATTGGAAGAGGGTTCGTTGAAAACCAAGAAGTGCAAAAATGTGTGTGAATGACACCCTTGCACCTTGCGGTGCTCTCCTGCTAGCTAATCTCTTGCTGCTGAGCAGCATATCATGACTGGCTCCAGTAGAACACACAAAGAGCTTGGCAGTCCTCAGCAGCTCTTGAAGGATGTGCATTTTGTTCTGCATGATTTAAACACGTGAAACATACCCTCTACTACTGATGGAACAAGTCTGAGCACCTGGAGATACCTGTCCTGTTAAAGAAGTAGCCAAGCCACTTTTACAGCCACTGGCTATTGGACACCTCAAAAATCAGTGCCATAGAGTATGAGATATTTGCAGAAGCAAACAAATGTGCCATTGCAGAGCAAGATTTGATTTTTGCTGCAGTAAGAGGGTAAGGTCAAGAAAGTTGAGAAAGTTTTGAGGTGCTTGATGACCTGTTTGCTGGTGCAAGAGATGAAAAAGCTCCAGTTCTCTTCAGCAAAGTCTGTAATATTCATTGCTCTGGGTTCAAAAAGGTGCAGATTTTACCTACAGCCTGCTTTGAGTGAGTACTGTGGATTTGTTAGCAGGAAACTTGCACTGTGTCCTTGGCCCTGCTCTATCTCCCAGACTGAGCACATCTGTTCAGTAGGTGACCCGCAGATGTCTGCTTCAAAGCTGCCACTTTGTATTACAGTTTCTCAGAACCACAGGATCCACAAGGGTCCTGGAGTGTCAGTACCTATGGGAATTGGGAGACAAGCTTAAGCTTGGGCACTTAGGTGATCTCAGTGTAGCTCTAGCTGTGCAAGCTCTGAGTTGTGTTGTTGCCTCCTCCTGAAAAGAAAGAAAAAAAAAGAAAGTTAAAAAAAAAAGAGTTACAATAGGCACCTCTTTCTGTAATGGGTCACATTATGAACGTTTGTTGTACCTCTGTGGGCAGGCATATTCTGGGCTCACAGGGCACACTCTCTGATGGAGCATGATCCATTAGTGGGGAGTGAAACGAGACTGCTTCACCAGGGGCACTAGGACTAGCAGGAAAGATGGTCAGCATGGAGGAAACTGGAGAGAAACCTTAGGAACATCTTCAAATACACAGCTTGAGGAGCTGCCCAGCAGGCAGGTAAATACAAATGCTTCCCAGATTATGTATTTCTCAATTTACAACTCCCAGACCTCAATTTGGAGTGGAACAAAGAAAACTCTTAGCTATTCCGTGCTTTGGTAGGAACCCCTGTGATCATACTGAGCTTGGCTGTTGCAAGTGGTAGTTCCATCACCTGGCCAGCAGACGGTCTGCAAGAGCTGGACTGGATGTACTTGGATTTTCTGTTGTGTGAATTCTGCAGAACTGTTCCATGCCCTTAGAAACGCATACTACGCTGTAAAGAAAGGATCTAAATGTGACCCAGGACCAACATATGTCTTTATCACAATGCTCCTTTTTGTTGGAACAAATAACAATACATCTGGGCAGAAGATTTTAGTCTTCTCTAAACCTAAGCACTAGCTCATTTTTTATTTTTTTTCAAACTCATCAGTTAAACAAACCTAGCTGGGCACAAGGAGAAAAATGTCCTTGAGCCTATAACATACAGCAACATCTCCTGCATTTTGCCAGAGATATAACACCAAAAAAGGTCATTTTTACAGGCTTGACAGCAAGGCTATCGTAAAGATGACAATGAACTTTAGGAGTGTTCATTCAACTATCTCCAAAACTGGGGAAAAATGTTCCCAGAAGGGCAGCTGTGCCCTGCAGGACTGGTTCGGAGTGCCTGAACAGAATTTCCTGATGACGGCTGGTAGTGCCATAATTCCTAGCTCTGTCACAGAGGAGCAGTTTGAGGAATAGAACACTATGGCCTCAAAGCAGGCCTCTCTGGATTTTCAGAGGTTCTCTACCTCCTTTGTAGGGTGTACAGTCTCCCTCTGCTCTGCTCTGAGTCTCCTCTCCTTGGCTTTTTCCCTCACTTGTCACCTCCTCCTCAAAGGTAGCTCTGCCCCTGCTTTTTCTGATCACTCAGTTGCTTTGAATACTCTGCGCTTTCGAGAGATTTAACTTCCAGTGGTTTCCTCACCAGTAATTTCTTCTGGCCTTTTTGTGTTACTTCAGTGTCTCCTTCTTTGGGTTCTGTCCTTTGTGGACGCTTGCTAGAGTGTCATCCACATTTCTCATCCCCTCATTTTGTAATGTTACTCAGGATCTGCGTTAGTTGATGTTCTTTGCTTTCTATCCTCTTCATCTCCAGGCCAAGGCAGGTGTATTCAAGAACATGGTAGGAAGGAGACTGGAATCAGTAAAGTTAGCAGGTGGTCTCCTTATCTCCTGGCCTGTTTCACACCTCTTCAAGACCCTTCCAGACATATCCTATGGAAGTGACCTTGCTCAGAGGGATAGTTTCTGCTACAGCTTTACCATAATCTTCATTTATGCCTTGGGCTAAGAAATATCGAATTATTTCTCAGCTTTTTTTCTGACTGGATTTTCCTGTTCTTCCTGTATATTCTCTCTGTAGAACTACATGGAGCTACTGGTTGCTAAGAAGTCCTGTGAAAGCATGTTCCCTGGGCTGTTTAGCACTGTTTAGATGAATTGTCTGGTGACTGCAAATGGCAGAATTTCACCTTAGTTCGTCTACAACAGCAGCAGAAGTACATCCCTTGCCTTAACACATTCCCAGCAAACCCACCAGAATTCAACCATAATATCTGGGGTTCGTCTGGGATTAGGGATGGATGCTGCCACATTATTTTTTTGAGTGGGCAACGTTCTGATGCAGCACTCACCTCTTACAGTAGGTAAGAAGGGTAAGTACAGATCCCAAATAGGAGAGTCTCTCTTATGCACCATAGATCATGCACTAGCAGTACAGAGGACTACACATCCAATAAATATATAAATAGTGACAAAAATAAATGATGTGGTGATTTCTAAATCTTAAAAATCTCTAAAAGGTCACAAATGTTAGTAGAAGCTTCCATTGACATGGCAAAGCAGACATCAGCACATTAGCATGTAATTTCTGCAAGCTAACCCTTATGCTGAGATAGCTGATGCTTGTCTGATGGCAACGACTTCCTCCTCACCGGCGCACTGTTTTTGCTTTTGGGATGAATTCGTAATGCCCTATTTACCTGGAATCTCAGTGTATGTTCCAGGTACGGCTCAGTTTGCACGATGACAGAAGAAACGGCCACTAAATAGCTGTGGTCACTTGTCTGAAGAGCTCTGCTTTCCAGGAATTCCTCCACTCCTTCCCTCTAGGAGAGCACACGGACACCCTGTCAGCCCGACCCAATGTTTACTATTGGAAGACGAGATACATAAGAGTGCCTGCTTTCTGCTGCTCATTGCTATCACACAGATACTTTTATTTATTAATATTATTGGTGACAGTAGAATAGACGGTTTATTTATTCCCAGCGGGCCGCCGCCGGCCCGCCCACAC